TCTGATCCATAATTTCTGAGTACTAGGACAGAACATCAAGCAAAATTACCTTTAGTTTGAAAGGAAAAAAGAAGAGACAGTTGTATTATCCATAACTCCTAATCAGCTCAGAGACAATGGTTTAAAGAGGGGATAACATCTGGTCCAACTATCCTTATCACTATACTCTAATGAGCTCCACAGACACCTGCATTAAACATGTCATAGGGACCTAGAGGGGTATGATAGAGATATCCTTGGCAGGCATGTTAAACTTTAAGTTAATAAATACAGTCCAAGAAAAATTGTGTCAATCATATATTTTTAAAAATTTATTTTAAGGATCAATAAGTCTTGCTGTTTGATACTATTTAATCTGACTCAAGAACTTAAGTAAAATAAAATAAAGCTTACTCCTGTGCCATCTTTATCATCTCTACTCAGTTTAAGCTCATTGTTGTCATTACTGTTTCAATACATTTTGTAGAGAACTATCTTCTTTTTTGATGAGACTCTACTTTTCTGAGCATGTTGTGCTTGTCCTTTCTGATAACATGTATGTGAAATGAAGTTGTACAATTCTTCCTTCAAAGAATCACTCAAGAATTATACCTCAACGTTAAGAAAACAAAAATCTTCACCACTGAATCCACTGAAAAAAGTCACTATAAAGAAGCCTCAAAAACTTAAACTAATTGCTGTCAAGTAAGAATCAACAAATAGTATGTTTTTGGGAGCTGTAAATCGAAAAGGAGATGTTCTATATTTCTTTCATGGGGTAGTTGGTGGATTCAAACTACTTGACTTTGGGTTGACTGCCTAAGTCTTTACCCACAGACCAGAGGCAAGGATAACATCATGTTAGATGGAAATAAATGGAAATTGTCAAAGATTTTATTTTACCTTGATCCACTATCAACACCTTGTTATTATTTTTGTTAGGTGCCTTCAAGTCACTATGCCTCATAGTAATTCTTAGTAGCAGCAATAAAGAAATTAAAAGACCTGCTGCATTGGAAAAGTCTGCTTTCAAGGACTTCTCCAAAGTATTCAAGATTAATGATGTAATTTTAAAGACTAAGATGTGCTTGGGTTTTTTCAATTGCTTTCTATGCCTCTGAAAGTTGGACAGTGAATAAGGATGAAAGAATTGATTCCTTTTAATTGTGGAACTGGAAAAGGGTACTAAATATCCTATGACCTGCCAAAAGAAGAAACAAGTCTGTCTTGGGAGCCAGGGTGATACTTAGAGGCAAGGACAGTGAAACTCCATCTCACATACTTTGGGTATGTTGTCAGGAGAGACAAATAGTGATGGGAAAGTTGGAGGGTCAGGGAAAGAAAGGAAGACTTTCAATAAGATGGAATGATGCAGTGACTATAAGAACAGGTTACAGTTCATGAGCATGTCAGAGGTCATGGGGATGGTGCAGGGCAAGGTTCTGATCTGTTGTTTATAGGATAAGCATGAGTCATCATCAACTGGACAGTACATACAAACAACAGTAACAGGAATATTTCATATTCTGACAAAATCACAATTGATGTCATCAATTCTTTTTAAGTCTTCCTAACACATTGTCCAACTTTCACACATATTTTGTTGTTGTTGTGCACCATTAAGGGGCCTGCAACTCATAGTAACCCTGTGTACAACAGCCCTAAATCCTGCTCTATTCTGTGCAAATCTTATTGTCTCTGACACACCTACCCTCATTACCACAGTTACTAAATCAATCCATCTCATCGAGGGTCTTCCTCTCTTACACTGTCCCTCTACCCTCCCAAGCATGCTGTCCCTCTCCAAGGACTGATCTCTCCTAGCAACATGTCCAAACTATGTCAGACAAAGATGATAGATAGATAAATAGATAGATAGATAGATAGATAGATACCAAGATAGATATAGATATAAAGCAATTGAAAATATGTTTACTTGAGGCAGGTGCTTCTTAATCTTAAGTAATAACCTTGTTTGTCTTTTGATTTTGGGTCCAAGTAAGGTGGAATCAATAACAACTACACTCTTTTTTTCCATTTCTTATGTGTTTTGGGTTTTTTTTTGGTTCAGAGTTATGATAATTTTCCCTCCTTTATGTTCAGATATAATATCTGTTGAAGGTCATAGTCTTTGAGCTTTATCAAAAAGTGCTTCAATTCTTCTCTATTCTCTGCAAGCAAGACTGTGTTCAAGGGGGGAAAGTAAGACATTTTAAAGTTACACTCTTTAGAGTATGCCATGAAATCTTGGTTACATTTAACAACAAATTAATTTTCGTAGTTATGTTTCCTCTCATATTTAATTATATGTAATTGCTATTGTTACTGGATACCATCAAGTTGAGTACGATTTGTAGTGGTCCTGTAACAATCCTGCCTTATCTTGTGTCATCCTTATCATGTCTGACATACTTGAACCCACTTTGCCACTGTGTCAATCCATCTCATTTAAGGTCTTCATGTCCTTTACTGACTCTCCAACTTTCTAAGCATCATGCCCGTTTCCAAAGAATAACCTCATATAACTGTTGTTGTTATGTGTTATCGAGTAGCCTATGACTCATAGCAACCCTATGTATGCCCTAAACCTTGCTCTATCCTGTGCCAACCTTATTGTCTCTGACACACCTACTCCCATTACGCTAGTCACTGAATCAATCCATCTCATCGAGGGTCTTCCTCTCCTGCACTGTCTGTCCACCCTCCCAAGCATGACATTGCTCTCCAAGGACTGGTCTCTCCTTGAAACATGTCCAAAGCATGTCAAATGACTCTTCAGAATCCTTGCCTCCAAGGAGCAGCCTGGTCCCACCCTGTATAGAAAGAACTTGTTTGTTCTCCTAGCAGTCAGCACCAGAGCTCAAAAGCATCAATTCTCCTACTATCATCCCTAGTCATTGTCCAGCTTTCTGATGCATAGCAAGTAAATGCAGGCTATGGCCTGTATCAGGTGCACCTTAGTCTATATACTTATGTCGTTGCTCTTCAGCACTTTGGAAAAGTCTCTGACTGCAGACTTTCCCAAAGTAATTTGTCTTTTCATCTCCTGGCTGCTAGTGTCAAGAGTTGATTGTGGAGCCAAGCAGACTAAAGCTGTTGACAGTCTCACTCTCTTCACCATCTAGCATGATGCTGTCAATTGTACCAATTCCTGTTTTCTTGATGGTGAGCATCAATTCATATTGAAGGCTACAGTCCTTGACCTTCTGCAACAAGCACTTCAGGTCCTCCTCACATAACTACACGTCCGAATTTTGCGAGAAGATGCGTCATCATCTTAGCCTTTAATGAGCACTCTAGTTGTACTTTTTCCAAGACATATCTGTTTGTTCTTTTGTCAGCCTATGGGATATTCAGTACTATTCTCCAGCATCACAACTCAAAGACATCAGTTCTTCTTCTGTCATCCTTATTTATTGTCCAGCTCTGTGATGCATAGACAGTGATTGAAAAGACTTTGGTCACCATATTGTTGTTGTTGTTGTTGTTGTTGTTGTTGTTGTTGTTACATGCCGTCGAGTCGCTTGCGACTCATAGCGACCCTATGTACAACAGCCCTAAACTCTGCTCTGTCCTGTGCCAATCGCACCATCTCCAACACACCCATCCCAATTACCCCAGTCACTGAATCAATCCACCTCATAGAGGGCCTTCCCCTCCTGCGCTGTCCCTCCACCCTACCAAGCATGATGACCCTCTCCAAGGACCGGTCCCTCCTTACAACATGTCCAAAGTATGTTAGACAGAGCCTCAGAATCCTTGCCTCCAAGGAGCTACCTGGTTTGACCCTTTCCAGGATGAATCTGTTTGTTTTCCTAACATGGTATTCTCAATACTCTTCTCCAGCACCACAACTCAAAGGCATCAATTCTCCTTCTATCCGCCACCATAGTCTTCAAAAATATATTATCAACAAAAACAATTAAAAAATTATTGTAGCTGAGTTTACCATTATTATGATAATTTCTCCCCCCTTAGCTTGTTTGTTTCTGGTATCTTCCAAATGAACAAAGAAGGCATATATTTCAAAAGAAAATATTTTGAAAGAAAATTAAAATGTAATGAGTACATTAGGAAAATAAAAATTAGTCAAAATCCACCACTCTCAAATTTTCAAGGCAACTTCCTGGCCCAGTTCTACTTTAATATACTTTGGGAACCATCAACTCAGCCAAATTCTCACATTCATTTTTTGCAAATTTTACTAAAGTTCATAGATCTTTGTAAATTTCCCCAAGGTCATACAGTTAATTATTGACATGCAATGTCTCTTCTGAAGAATCATAATAGTTCCTCCCAATTACATGCCAGGGATATTTGTCAAGGATAAAAAAAGGTCCGTTTGTGGTGAGGCCTGGACTAAATACGCTTTGGTAGGTATCCAGGTCTGCCACAGACTGGGAAAGCATTCTAATTCAACTCTAAGCACAAGCTTGAAAGCTTGGCTCTTATTTCAAAAGTTGTTTCCACTATAATTTAAAGGCACATCCCTCTCTCCCTCAAATCCAATCACAGACCTCCATGTGTCTTGTATTCCCATAAGACTGACTCTTCACAGACCTCAGTGCCATATCCAAGTGAAACTTCTCTGGTGCTGTCTGGTAAGGAAAAGTCCTTGATCCTCTCCTCAGCTGTCTCCTCCAAGCCAGAAACAGTTAATTTCTTGCTTGTTTCAGCTGCCCTAGCCCAACCCTAATCATCCTGATCTCAGACAGCAGCAAAGCAAGGCTGCAGTGCTCGAGGCCACGGGCTACACGGAGGAGAGGGGACATTCTTCCCAGGTAATGATTAAACCAACTCCCTGGCAAGGTCACAGTGTCAGGACCAGGAAAAGGATCCCTATTCACACCTTCACAAGGCTACAGTGGCCACGACCAGTTTGGGAAGGCATAGTCCTGAGCTTGGGAGCCTGGAACCAGCAGCTACAGACTTCTACCTGCAGACAGGTGTCTGGAAGCATCCCAGGCCAAAGCCTCTGCTACCTGGCCTGCTGGGACACTGCCCTCACTGCTCCCAGCATCATGAAGCTCCAACTGTTCTGGACTGGACTGGAATACACCTGCCGGCTCCTGGGCATCACCACAGCTGCAGGTAGGACCCTACCTCACCCTGCTGTCCTTACAGTCTGAGCAGAGCAAAATGGGCTTCTTAAGGGTGGAAGGTAGCCAACTGAAGGAGTAGTGGCAACTGACAACACCTGTCCCTCACTTTCCTGCCCATGTTCCCAGCTGGCTCTGTAGGCACGGAGAGTATACCTAAGGTTGAGGCTAGTGTGTCCAGGATAAAACCTCTGCTTTACAGCCTAATCTCCAAGTACTAAAGGTCAACCTCATTGTCCTCATCTCAGAAATTAGTCAGTGGAGATGTGGTAAGGCAGAGGCTGGGAAGACACAGAAACTGGTACTTCACAAGTATGGAAATGGTAAACTGAGTTCACCTTGTTTAACTCAAATCAAAGTCCTGTTCAAAGAAAAGAGAATCCCCATTTCCACTCCGGCAGGGCCAAACTAGAGGGCTGGATATGGAGGTTACAAGTTCCAAGTTCCCTGGTGCCCATTAACAGAAAGACTCTGTTGCCTACTGCAGGAGCCCACAGTTGTTTGGGGAAAACTGTATCTCATCTGAACTTTCTTGACATTAGCTCTTCATTCTACTCAGCCTTCAGTTATGTCCACTTGTTATTGGAAAGACATGTAGAGACAACACCTGCTGTAGTCCTAAGCTCTGCCTGCTTACTTCCCCAAAAAGAACTAGATCGTCAGCCTCATGGCCTTACTTACTCAGCATCTCTGATGGGGTTGTGAGAAGATGCAATTTTAGACTTTTTCTTAAGGTCTCATTTCTAGGAAGAGACTTCCATCTCATTACGCAGAAATTTGCGCATTGTTCATGCCAAATGGGAAAAGTCCTAGCCTGAATACAGCTCCAACTCTGTCACTAATCACATGCATGACCTTGGGAGGGCCACTTGGCCTCTTTAAATCTGAACTTTCTGATCTTTTTCCAAAGGGGATCACTAGTTCTTCAAATTAGAGTATTTTGGAGGATCAAGGACCAGGAATACATACCTCTAGGAATAGTTCCCTTCCAAAGTTCAGTGGTCACTATGAGTTAGCATGTGGGTCCTTTGAGAATCTAAATCATGGGTAAGAAGGCTGGAAGACATCCTGTAATCCCACTTTTTCTTTTACAAGACAGAGCAGTTGAGCTTAATTGGGGAGGTAACCTTGTCCAAGGTCACTCTGCAGGTGAGAACCAGCCTATACTCCATTCAGCAACAGTCTGGACTCTGGTCAAAGCCCTTCCTGCATCTTAGGTGGGAAACTACCTAGCCTGCACATAGGAGTCTGTGGTTACTCTTCTGAGATCCTGGGTAGATGGACATGATAGAGGATTTAGCTTAAACCCCTTTTGGAGCACATTGTCACTTCCATATACATAAGGGAATGACTTTAGGTCCCTACCAAGCCTATTTTAGGAGAAGAAAGCTAGCCTATATAAGGTTCCAGATGCTACTTTTGAGTCTACCCCGCCATCTCTGGTCCTGTTGTTGTTGTTGTTGTGATGTGCCGTCAACTCACTAGTGACTGTTCTGAACTCTGCTCTGTCCTGAGACAAATTTATAGTCTCTGGCACACCCACCCCCATTATCCCAGCCACTGGGGCTTCCTCTCCTACACTGTTCCTCCACTCTCTAAAGCATGATGTCCCTCCTTAAGGACTGGTTCCTCTTTGCAATATGCCTAAAGTATGTCAGAGGAAGCTTTGGAATCCTTGCCTCCAAGGAGCTGCCTAGTTTTACTAGGTTTAGGATGAACCTATTTGTTCCTTGCAGTCCATAGTATATTCAATGCTCTTCTCCAGCACCACACCTCAAAGGAACCAATTTTCCTTCTATAATCCCTAGTCATTGTTCATATTCCTGATACATAGCAAGTAATTATGAAGACAATGACCTGGATCCGGTACACCTTAGTCTCCAGACTGGCACTGCTGCTCTTAAGTACTCTGGAAATGTCCCTAACAGCAGATTTTTCCAATGCAATTCATCTTTTGATTTCCTGGCTGCTAATACCAGAAGTGCTGACTGTGGAGTCAAGCAAACAGAAGCTGTTAACAATTCCAATCTCTTTACCCTCTATCATGATGCTGCCAACCAACCCAATGGTGATAAACTGTTTTCTTAAAGTTGAACTTCAATCCACATTGAAGACTAGTCTTTGATCTTCTGCAGCAAGAGTCTTGGTCCTCCTCAGTTTCAGCAGGCAAGGTTTTGTCATCTGCATAACATGGGTCGTTTATGAGTTTTCATCTAATCTTGATGCCACATTTCTCCTCATAGAGCCCAGCTTCCCGGATGATCTGTTCTTCATGTTGTGTTGTTGTTAAGTGCTGTCGAGTTGTAGGTGACTCACAGAGACCTTATGAATGAAAGTCTTCAACACTTGCATGACTTTCGTCCTTTCTCCAGGTTCATGGGGTTTCTGGAGGCTTGTTTTAATCAGGGAATCCACCAAACACGGTCCACCATGGGTAACCATTATCACATTTGACACATCAATGTCACAGTGTTCAGCTTCACAGCAACCAAAAGTTACCTCTGTACAGCAAGTGGACACACCAGGGCTATACGACCTAGAAGAATGTTTGACCAAAAACAATGAAAAACGAAAGTGTGGAGATAGGATGCATCCCTGGTATTCACCCTTCCCAGTTTTGAACCATGCAGTGTTTCATTGCTCTGTTCTGACAACTGCTTCCTGTTCTAAGTAAAGGTTTTGCATAAGCACAATCAAGTGTTCTGGGATTCCCATTCTTTTCAGAGTCAGCCATAGTTTGTTGTAATCCACACAGTCAAATGTCTACATAGTCAATGAAACACAGATATGGATGGGTCTTAGACACAGGTGCCAAGGGCAGAAAACAACACTTGAATGTCCACAGTCCTACATTTGTTAATATCAAGTTTTGGGGTGATTGCTTTCCCCATATGCGTGAATGAGAGTCAGCCACATTCTGCCAGAGCTGAGGTCTGCCTCCAGTCAGGAAGCTGTTTAAATACATGTATCCTTATTCACCTAATGGATTAGCTAAAGACAATTTGAGTCTGATTTATCTCAGCCAGTGGCAGGGTCTGTAGCCCCTCCCCCACGGATATTCTTCCTCTTAACCACAACCTTCTCCTTCTGCACAGAAGGTTGCTATTAATGCTGGAGTAGAGCCTCTACTTTATTCTCATATAAGATTCAGGTTAAAAATAGGTCACAAGTTTCCATCTAATAGACAGGCTTTCAAATAATCTTGCTAGGGCTTTCTAGAGCACTGAGAGTAAGCAGGAAGCTTCAGAGAAGGACTGTGGCAAATCTCAAGTTTCTTCCAGCATCATTGGCTTTCTGGCCTATTTCCAGCATGTAAGATTTGCAAATTCCTTGTTTCTCTAAGCCTCTTTTTGTTGAAATCCTCTGTTGAGAAGTCTAGGCCTCATTTGCAAGAACACTGCAGCTGGAGAGAATGAGACTGGCACTTTGCAGAGACCCTGGGAGCCCTGAAATGGCACTTTATCTCACTGTTTTGGGAACTTGTGAATTTTCCAGAAGCTGGGTAAGGCAGATGACAAGTATCATCTAGTGTTACCTGCACTGACTGATCAACTCCACACTAAAGTTGTGATTGTGCCTTCAGAAAGCCTAGCAAAGTGTCTGGCTCAACTATGTACTCTTTTCCTCTCTGCTAAGACCTTTTTTATTTTTTGGCATTTTTTAAAATTTTTATTATTTTGTGTGTGTATCATCAAATCGGATTTGACTGGTACAGGAGAAGATTGTCCCTCCTTCTCCAGCAGAGCTTCTGGTGGATTCAAACCGCTCATCTCTGGGATCAGCTCAGACCTTTGGATGCAACTGCATTACAACCCTGAGTCCAGTTTTATCTCAAATACTTTATTTTTAATTACTCTCACCTTCATATCCAGTTGCTTCATATTCCATTCTTGCCCCATCTCGTGGCTTAGGAACACAGCCTCACAACATCAGTGGTTTAGGAATACATTTGAAGTACTTCCACAGTTATACAAGTAAACAGGCCATAGCAGACCATATCCAGCTACAGGTGTTTATAAAATTAGAAAATTCTGTCCTTGTGAATTAGTCCTGTGGTTTCATAAAAGGATGCTTATCTCATTGTCTTACACTTGACAGGCTTTATTCATTTGCCTTACCTGCCTGGTCTAAGAAGGTAGAATGTGTGTCAGAGAAACATAAGAGAAAGTCTTTTAATGCCTCCAGTGCTCAAAATATGGCACTCTTGTTGTTGTTGTTAGATGCCGTCATGTCAACCAAGATTCATAGTGGTCCTATGGATGACAGACCTGAACCCTGCCCTACACTATGCCATCATCATCTTTTCTGCCACACATGAGTCCATCATTGCAGTCACTGTGTCAATCCTCTCAAGCAAGGGTCCCCTCCTTCATTGACCCTCCACTCCACTTTTCTGAGCATGTTGTACTTTTCCAAGGATTGACCCCTCCTAACAACATGTCCAAAATATGGGAGACAATGTTGCATTATTCTTCCCTCTCAGGAGCACTTTGTTCCCTTGATAATTCAAGGGATATTTAGTACTCTTCTCCAGTACCAGAACTCAAAGACATTAATTCTTCCTGATTAAAGACAGAACTGAAGGAGTAAACAAGCTGTCCCACCTCATGCAGATAACACCTACAGACAGGGTACTGAGTTAAAGATTTAAACTCCAGGAGGGGCTCAAATCTGTGATTTGTTCTCACCATATACTGACTATCAAGTAGAGTTGGGTAATTTAGGTGAATGAGGTTCATCTAAGGTAGGAAGAGCTCAGAGTCTAGGCCAATCCCCTCACTGCAATGAGCAAAGGGACTGTATGACACACTTGGGTCCCTTGCTTTTCCTGGAAGGTAGGATTGCTTTCCCTTAAAGTTATTTGGTCCTTTTCATGGCTGAGCAGGAGTCTTGATAACATTCTCCTTCCTTACGTATCAGCTTCTGCCCAACAGCAACCACCCAGAAAGTATGTGAAGAACTCTCTTGTTCCAGGTCTCATAGATTTTCCCC